AATATGATAAAATTGTCATTCCCCGTGTGATGAATGGTAAAATTAAATAAAAAAAAAAAATTCGTAAAAATATACTCATAGTTTTATAATATCGATTTCTAAATTCATCAAATGGATATCTGCACGATCTTTGATGTTAAAAGACGTTATCACATGACTCTTTTTATAATTATGCTATTATTTTTTTTTTTATTCTAATGCATCTTCATAATAAATCTCATTAATTAAATTTTAATTTTAAATTACAATCATTATTAAGTTATCGGAACAATCGGTAAAGAAAGAAACATTGCATGTGTAAAATTTTTATCTCATTTTCACTTCTTTCGAATCCATTTCGAATCCAATAAGTTACAATCACGAAACATTCAAACTTCAGCGGATGAAAATTTATTTTGCCAAAAATATGTATCTCGTGTTCACGTGTGGCATTAAGAAGAACAAAAGAAATGAATATTACTTATTATTATATACACGATATAAGTATAATTTTACACAAAAACCGATAAAATGATATCGCCTCGAATATAAGACTCGTGGTAATTGATTCGAGTATTTCGAATTCTTTTCATCCTCAAAATTTGGCAAACACACGTGTCTCTTGTACATCTATAAAATCCTTTTTCTAATAATTCCAATTTAACAATTGTAATAAAAATTATTTTTATCCAAAACGCACGATCAACCTCGCCTCGTTCAAATCTGAAATTTATCTTATTAATTTATAATACGATACACAACTTTTTGGCAAAACAATGCAAAAAATTCTTAAAATGATCAAAAATAACACACGTATTTTTTTTTTTTTATCATTCTATAACGTACAGAAGATGTTTCGAATGAAGTGAAAATAAACGATACAACAAACGATTTGTCTTGCAAATTGAACACGTTATATATTCCGAGTTATGGAAAGCAATTAGAGCATCGCGTATGCATAGGTAAGATAAGTGACGATGCACTTGTGCACACAAATGCTATCGCATGACGCACAAAGGACATTTTAAACTGCAATAATGGCACGATCACTTTTTGCAAATATCTCGAAAATTAGAAGAAGATCACGATTGGCGAAGAGAACGTATTTCATTAATTATCATTAAAAATCGACGAGGGAAAGATATAAAGATATTTTATCCAAAGTGATTTTGATGTAATAATAATGTAATAAATATTCGTAAATTACTTGATCGTGTTCGAAAGGTGATACATATATTCTTCCTTTATAATTTTAATTTAATTACTCGATACATATCTTATCTGAAGTGATTTATGATTCGTTTCTAAATGATGATTGAATCGTGTCAGTCGCGATTAAATCTTTATCTCCTAATAAAGTTTGTTTCCACGGGAATTTTGCCGCTGTAAAACTATCAAAAATATTCCACGGAACACCAATTGGAATTGAAAATCGAATCTAATCGAAGAAGCCTACTCAATATTTTATTGGATTACGTAAAAGAACGAAAGAACGGTGATTGTATATATATATATATATATTATTTTTTTCCACCAAGAGTGATATACTCGAACCAACGTGTTCACGTGTTCTATGCGATATCGAGAAAAAAAACCAAGATTTGAACAGCGTGTACACGACGTATGGGAATGAATCACTCTATCTACGTAATAACAGTGACGAGCCGAATGATTCGATTTTCGTGAATGACGTAAAATTACGCGAATTATTCGTATATATATATATATGAGTCTTTTGAAAACATCCTCTCTATTGTTTAAAAAAAAAAAAAAAGAATTTATTTCTAGAATTTTGATTTAACGTTTGTTGGGTTGATTTTAATCGTACATTGCGATTGACTGATTTAAATAAAAAGGAAGAAAACTAAATTATGTTTCTTTCTTTTTTTTAATTCGATTCTGCATAATATCTCGTAACTTTAAGGTTAAAATCAAGAAAATTGATTTATATCAATTAAAATGATAATTCTCAAGGCGATTTACCTCGTCTTTTTTTTTTTTAAATTTATCGATCAAATTCAAATTTTAAGAGATTTTTACCACGTTCATCGTCCCTGTTATTTGTCCCTATATTTCGTTCTATTCTATTGGCCAATTTTTAGTCACGTGGTCAGCGCGCAAATACGAATACTCTTTCTTCGAATATTTTTTAAATTTCAGACGGTGTTTTCAGAAATTTTTGGATAAGTCGTCCTGTTTATCGTTGTCTACGGATATCACGAATTTCTTCTTCGAATTGTTTCTTTATTTATCACCGATTCGACGAAAAGAGAAAGGATGAATACAAATGGAACACGCATTTGAAGGCCATTATCAGATTATTTAAAATTCGTCATTTTCGTCATTTGAATCGCATAGAGAGAAACAATATTTTTATTTTTTTAAATAATATATCAAAATCATTTTCATACACTGTTTGGAAGAAACGAAGATGCGACAAGGAAAAGAGAAAAAAGAAAAAAGAAAAATTACGAACAACGCACAAAAATTTAAGGAAAATACGAATCTGTACGCAATCTCTTATAATTAAATCTTCAAATGAGATGTCCATCCATTTATTAAAATATTTAAAAAGGAATAAAAGTGGGGAGGAAAAATAAACAAGCAAATGAGATGAAAATAAGATGATAAGAGATAAATGAAAAGAATTTAAAGAGATTATAAAGAAATCTGTTTTTGGAAGTGAGATAAAAGTTGAACCCGAGCGATGGTGCATCGATGAATGAATTAATCATCGGATAAAGACTTCTCTGATTCACACGAGTTATTCTTGCACCATTGTATATATTAATCGATGCTATTCCGGATCAATCGATTCCAAGGAATGAACAGATCTGCTGGAACGTAAGAAACGTGATTTATAAAGTAAGAAAACATTATCGAGGAATCCCCTCGGAATGTAGTCGGTTTAAATCTGGAATATGGACGGGAAGTCTATCTAGCGTGCGATTTAAAGTGGAAAGATTGAAATAGAACCGAAGAAGATAATTTAAAAAAAAAAAAAAAAAAAGAAGAATTGTAATTTTTCTTCCAAAATTTATAAATTTTTATTCGAATTCGTCAAATTTTCTTAATTTTTCCAATTTAATTTTATCGATTGTGTATCATCATGTACAGTGTATGAAATATGTATGAAATAAAATTATATATATCTCAGATACAGAGATAAATAATTTTTCGATATTATTCCTGTGGTGCTAGTAAATTTGGATCATTGGACATTTCTTCGAACGTACTTATCACACTGCGCAAAAATAACAAATGCTTCAATGTACAATGTGTATAATAAAAAGATTACAAAGTTCAGACAGTCGACATAATCCAGAATCGGAAATATTTGCTGCAACGGCAAAAGTGATTATAGAGCTTAACCTACGGGATTGCATCACGATCGTGTTATTTACAACCGGGGAGAACGAGTTCGGGGACGACGTTTCATCTATTCGTAACTCCGCATTCCGACGCGCGAATGACGGTTTCGAACTAATTTATAAATCATTCTTCAACAGATTCTTCAATTGTGTAAATTTCCAGTGTGGAGAATATAGGAAGGAAAATATACAGAAATACAGTTACGCGTAACCAATTGTCTTCTTCTTCTTTTTTTCTTTTTTTCTACAAGAATTTCATCAGATAATTGAATTTACCTTTGGAACGGAAAACTCCGGTTGCAATCAAATCTGTTTCGACGCCGATTATTACACGATCGAAAACACGTTGAAGTGCGTCCAACAAGATAAATGAATAACTTTATCATTACATATCGACTATCAAGATTTGCCAAATTTCTTTCATTTTTTTTTCTCCGATCCGTAGAATTTGATACATCGATCGAAAAATTTCGCTCTTTTCTAACACGTACACAATAAACGATATTGTCCAAACATTGTTACAAACGGATGATCAATTTATCGGATTAAACATTTTGTTTCGATCAATCGTCTCTTCTGAAATATACAATTTTTAACGATTTAATAAAATTTCTTGTCTAAATCGTACTCGTAATCGAACAATCTTTATCTTATTGTTAATTCGTTAAACGATGTAAAAGTTGGAAAGAGAAAATTAATTTACATTTTGCGAGCGATCAAAAAATTCCTCGAATGCACGGCTCCAACAGGAACGCGCGTCACCGGCCAAACTTTCTACATTCCGAGTATCGCCGATTTCAGGCCCTTCTCTAGATCTCATCAACAGATTTAAAACTAAATCTATTCGATGATTCATCCATCGAACGAGATCTTAAACCATCTCTTCTCTTGGACCAGGAATAAAGATCCTATTGCGCAATTACTCGGGACGGTATTACTCAATTTTGTCCAATTGTAATTTAAAGATATTAAAAAATATATCTTTCGAGAAATATAATTGTTTTATGAAACACTGTCGATTTCTCTACAAGAAAAAATAAATAGATAAGTGGAAGACATTTTTTGGATAGACCATAAAATATCGAATCAGAGTCAATCAAACGAATTTAAACCCATTAATCCTTTAAACCAATTTTTTCTTATGTCACATCTATTTCTATTCCATCCAAGAATCATCAAAGATTCATCTCCAAATCCCACACGTACATCCAAATATAAAAACATCCTTTTCCACGTCTTTTGTTTCCAAGGAAAAACGATTTACACGAATATTTGCACAGCGATCGCGAGAATAAAGAAAAAACGCAAACTTTTCCTCTAATTGGAAAAAAAAAAAGGAAAAAAATTCAACAGATCCAAACTCGTCCATATATATATATATATATATATACATCCAACATCTTCGATCGTAAGAAAAATTTCAAGACTCGATAATAAATCACGCGTTTCGAAAAGTATCGAAAAAAATCGCGGCAATCCTCGAAAAAATTCAGAAAGCGGACTTGGGTTACGTGAGAAATCACAACACGAATTCACGAAGCTGTTTCAAAAAAAAAAAAAAAAAAAAGCCAAAATTCTCTCCATTCCTCCCCCTCCCCCTCCAATTCCCTTCTTTCGTTTCGAGCAACGAAAGCGTGGAAAAGAAAAAAAAAAAAAAAGAAGAAGAAGAAAAAAGAAGGGAGAAGGTGGAATCGAGGGAAAAGGGTCGCGATTCTGGGAAAGAAACGCGAGGGAGGATTGAGAGGGATCGAGAGGGGGTATACGGTGGAGGGGCGAAGCCGGTACTCTTCTTCGCGTATATATGCGGGCGAAGCTACGTTACAGTTCACAAAGAGACAAAAGCGACATAGGAATAGGGCCAGATCCAGATAAGGGGAGAGAGAGAGAGAGAGAAAGAGAGAAAACCGAGTGGTTAATAAGACGGTTAATACACCTCGTTTCGTACAACGTGCCGATATATTCTGTGAACGAAGTTTGTGTTGAAGAAGTGCGCGTGATAGTGCGTGATAGTATCGAGACAAACAAGGAACGTGCATTTTCTTTTTTTTTCTGGACTCAAATTATTTCGTGGAGGAGAGGAGAATGGCGGGTTTGTACACCACGTTGCTCGTGTTGTGCGCTCTAAACGCGATCCTGATGCCGGACACGATTTACGCCAGACCACCCTCCCTGCTTAGGTGAGTGTTAAATTTTCCGTCTTTTTGGGTATTATTCTCTTTTTTTCCTTCCCCCCACTTTTGGATATATTTCCTTGGAATATCCGATAAGTAAAATTTCGTTAAACTTACGCATCTGGAAATCGAAAGTAGATCGTTCCAGTAGATATATTTCGAGATTTTAATCTCATCAAGTACGCATTTTTTCGTTAAATGAAAAATAAAATAAAATAAAATCCTCTCCTTCCTCGAAATCCCGACGTCAAACTCGATCGAGGCGCGATCCTTATCGAGCCGATTATCTTTATCGATTTATTTTCGACGACTTTTTATCCTCTTCGAGATCGCGTCTTACAGATATAAAAAAATCAGAGTATACCATCCGCAGGATAGCGAGTCGTCCAACGATTTTTATTCGAACTCCTCCTTTTTCCACCCCTCGAGAGATTCTCTCCTCCTGGCGGGAACCGCAGATAACGCGTTAGAAAGATAACGATCGCTTTGTTCCGTTCCACGTACACGCGTTACGAGAGATTAGTATACCAATTAACAAGACAAAATTGAGGATAAACGCGGCTTTATATCCTATATAGCTTCCAATATCACTCCCCTCCGTCGTAGTTTTTTTCTTTTTCCTCCTCTTTTCCTTTTTTTACTCCTTTTTTTTTTATTATCGATACATGAATATGAATTCTTCGTTATCGCGTATAAGCTTCAGCATATAATCGGGAAGGGACAAGGATTAAGGATACGAAGGAGGGATCAAAGGGGTATTTTTTTTTTTTTTTTTTTAACGTTAACCACTCTTCTTATCTCATATATCGGATTGATTCTTCCAAATTCTTTTTTGTCGAGAGATACTTTATATTTCTTATAAGATCTTTTTATCGTTCAATTATTTTCAACTATTTATTTGTTCTTTGTTTTTTACAAGTATCCGTGCGTAAATTTTTCGACAAACAATGTAGATATTCGTCGATTACGGATAATTATACGGATATTTTTGTTGAACTTTTTATTTAATCTTCGCAAATTCAACGACTATAAATAAGTACAAATAAACCGTGTCGCGTACGACGCGGCGAGAGAATAGGCGAAGGAGCGATTAAATATTAATGAATTCGGAAGGTGAGAAAAAACGAGGATACGCGAACAAGGATAAACGTGCAACGTCCAAGGAGACAAGAGGAATTCGCAACAGGTTGGAATCGAGACCGAGACACAACGGGCGTTTCGCCAATTCGATCGAATTAATCGATTTACTCGATTTTCGATCCGAGTTCTTCATCGCATCTGTTACGTGCGAATGTTTACATTAACTGACGTAACTTCCTATTATTCGCAAGTCACGATTTACGACAAATGATGAAAGAGAATCGCGACATGTTCCAATGCTGGTTAATTTAATGAGAACGGTGAATGAAATTTGGATTTCGAGTGGAAATTGAAAAATGTTTTCTATATTTTCGATTTATTTATTTATTGTGTGTTTTTTTTTTGTTTGTTTGTTTGTATTTATATATCCGACATCTTTGTGGATCTTTTTACACCAGTGGATCCCTTCCTTGCGCAACGATTTATCGCGCGATAATATTAGTCGACTGATAATGTTGCAAGTTGCAACTTGTCTTTCACGATTGCACCAGTTTACGTAGAATGGTATAATCGGATGACATATGATGCATAAAATTTACTTATGAGTACAGTTTGTTTGTTTTATCATTGAGTTTGTTGCCGTTCATTGTGCAAGAGAATTATGAAAATTTTCTGAAATTTCCAGTGTCGATTGATAATGTTCAGAAACGAAAGAGAAAGAGAGAAAATGTTGTTAACGATAATTTTATTGTCTTTTTTTTTTTTTTTTTTTCTTACAATTGATTCTCATTAGAAATCATCGGCTCTCTTTATCTTGTAAAAATATTAAATTGGAGCATCATAATTTTTATGATCAAACAGATGGAACTTAGACAGAAGTTATGATCCTTTCGCGCATCCTTTATGCAAATTTTGGTTCTTTTTCTATGGTTAAATTTTGCACAAATGCAAATGTTAATATTTTCAATACAATTTTAATAATAAACTATTCTAAAATTTGAATTTAGATGTTACATAATGTATGTAACAGAGATTCAATCGTATAATCCATCCATTTTGTTTTATACATGTTTTAAGGATTTATGCAATGAATCATTATTTACACTTACGTGAATATTATTTACATATTTAGTAGAATTAATAGATCTAATTTTAGAAACTTCTTTTTGTCGTTAATTAGAATTACAATCGATTTTTTCATCTATTCAAATGTATTCAAATTAATTAATAAACTCGAAAAACGTAACGGAATTCTCTCAATTCGTTCTATTACTATTACGCTACTTTTTTCCTCTTCCAATCTCTGCTTATTTTATTTATTTCACTATTTCGCTGGAGGACACGATTTTAATAATTATTATCCACTTATGCAAAATATTATCGATTATTGTATATTTATCGAATTCATGATATAAAAATATACATACCATCGATAAAGATAAAATAACGATTCTATATTTAACCCATCTATCTTAAACCTATCGAGAATTGTAAAAAATCAAAAATACAATCACATTCATCTAATCATTCCTTCCTTTTTTTTCCCTTCTTCTTATCATTTTTTCTGATTTCTCAGATCAAATTTCATAATTGGAAACGATTATCTAAATTCTCCAAATTAGTTTAATCACTTTTCTACTATCCAACTAATATCTGATCAACTATTATCAACATCCCTTCCTTTTCTATCATTCTTTCTTTTTTTGTAATTCATTCGAATCAAATTCAAACCAACAATAAAAAATCGTCCAAATTTTCGCCCTCTTCCATTTCTTTCTTTCTTTCTCTCCTTCTCTGAATTAAAGACTTAACTTGATCAAATTTCAACGCTATAATAATAATATATAATAGATAAAATAATAATACAATAATTGTAAATAATTATCTATACATTTCTCACTCGCAATTTCTCTTTACCAATTTCTTCACGATCGAATGGCAATTATTTGTCAAAGATGATAATTGACGTTGATTATTTACTCGAATGCGTTTTGCAGCAGGCAAAGGCGGGTATCGGATCAAAGGCTCGCCGAGATAGAGACACTTCTCGGATTGAAGAACGTGAGGGGGAAAGTAATGACGGTTCCAGTTGCATTCGGCGTGTTGGATCCAGACAAGATGTGAGTAATTACTTAACCTATCGCAATTAATTTAACACGACCCCCTATCTCCGTTGATTTATTTGCCGGCTCTTATCGGCCAACAAGTCGAGAAATTATCTATGTGTTACGGCTCTTTCCCGCTACGTCTGCGAAATTATCGTTCGGATTAACGAAAATCTTGCACTCGTTGTTACGAGCGCCAGTCGAAAATGACAGTTTAAAAAAAAAAAAA